AGAAGCCCTCTTGAAAAATGTAATTTCGGCTGACGATTGAGGGACGAATTAGTCAGAAACTCTCATTCTGACGGCACGATGGAGAGGCTCGCGGTGTGTCATGGGACGTTTAGGGACTATTTATATAATTAGGCATTTAGCGGGAGATTTAGGTCATTCTAGGTTAGTCAGTCTTCGTGTTTGTCCTCTTTTGTATTATTCTTAAGCTTTTTTTTTATATATAAGAGCTTGTAATATACATTTGTAAATGTTCTACGTTATTGATTTTGTACCCTTTCCTAGGGGTCTCGTGCTGTTGCATTAGATGAGGAATACGTCTCCACATATGTTTGGCCACATCTAAGAAATGGTTTTTAATGGTTTTTCGTATCTGGAAGGTTTTTCGTAATTTGGAAGGATACAGACTATGTTACATGACGGAATATATCAGATGACTGACAGCTGAACTGACTTACGCATCCTCAATAAACTATTCACATTGATTGTCTTCCGTTAGTGCAGTCAGAATAAAGTAAGGCAAGCATTCATAGTTACCAAGTTTTTCATTCATTTTTTTTTTTTGTCAGAGATAACTTGGTGCCAAAGTATGAATGTTTACAGGTTAGTGTCAATACTGAATCTCCAGATCTTAGTCTAAGTGAGACGCTTTTGTCATTTATGTTCCTGGTGAGAGTTATAAATGTTGTTGTGTGATATATCTACAGTGATGATGGAGCTTGGACAACAGCAGTGAAACATGTCGCCTGTTCGCCTGTTGTTACCAGACAGGCTACAGAACAATGGTTATGATGATATTTTGCTGAAGCTTAGTGTCAGGAAAAATGAGAAGTGGAAGTCCAGTGAGGACTTCTGGACTCCTTCCTTGCTAAAACCATGCCTAATATGCCACAACTCTGAGAATGACAGAGTGCGAAATGGAAAAAAAAGCAATAGTTTTGGAATAGTGAAAACAAAAATGCACATGTACGTTGATTGTTTTCTAGGTCACCATTCTTTGATTTCATAGTTCATTTCACCTCATTTTGTAACTTTTTGTAATACTTCTCTCTGTTACTTTTAATTTTGATTGATTGTGATGATGTTATCACAGACTGATATCAGTCCATGGCTTGAGGCTAAGCCTGATCTGACAAATGTGGAAGACGTCAGAACAGCAATCGAAAGTCTACGATTACGACTTCGTCAAAGGCTGGCAGACAAGAAGGGCTTGGAAGAGGTTGGTTTAAAGTATACAATAATATGGAAAGTCGACTGAAATACAAGCTACAAACTGTTTGGAGGGTCTACAACAATTTTATTTTCCTAGATATGGCTTATGCCGGGCAGGAGGGAGGAAAAATCAAAATAAAGACAAGCAGATAATTTTCTAGTGTGAGAAATTCCCAGTCTGTAACCACCATGGCTGACATTCCCATACACCCATGCTTAAAATGAGCAATTTGTGGAAGTACGAGCTAACAAACCTTCTAGTTAGCCTTTACCCAAATACCCATAGTTTTGTAAACTACGGATGCAAAGTTTCAAAAATTGTCCCAAATCCACGTAAGGTTGTAAGTCTTGTGATAGACAGTCAGTAACGTGACTGTGTAATATATACATTATTTTAACATTAAAATCTCATTATTATGATCAATATCTGATGTGGAGATGAT